GTCACGCAAGTCACTAGCAGGTCACATATGTCATACATATTATAACTAATTAAGCAGGGTGCATTAGCTTGACACGCAGGTCACACTAGCCTGACACACAGGTCACACTAGTCTGGCACTCAGTAGGTCACATTAGCAGGTTACATTTGAATCAGGTCATACTAGCTACTCACGGACTTTCTTCTCTCCCTAACTCTACTCTTGTAAAATTTCCTGTTATCTCCCTGGTGGAATGATAAGATAAAACGAGTAGGGGGAGAGAGAAAAGAGACGTTAAGAGAATGGCGAAGAAATGCAAAAGAACAAATGACAGGGTGGGTGAAACACTGTCAATAAATATTGGATTTTATTAATTAACACATCGGCCACCAAAGGCAGGGTAGCCTGAAAAAGAAAAACTTTCACCATCATTCACTCCATCACTGCCTTGCCAGAGGCGCTCTTACACTACAGTTATAAAACTGCAACATTAACAACCCTCCTTCAGAGTGCAGACACTGTTCTCCCCATCTCCAGGACTCAAGTCCGGCCTGCTGGTTTTCCTGAATCCCTTTATAAATGTTACCTTGCTCACACTCCAACAGCACAACAAGTCCTAAAAACCGTTGGTCTCCATTCGCTCCTATCTAATTTGCTGGAAGTTCAAGCCCCATGCACGCAAAATCTTCTTTACCCCCCTACCACCAACCTTTCCTAGGCCGACCCTTACCTCAGCCTTCTCTCCACTACAGATTTACACACTCTCGAAGTCATTCTATTCTCTTCCAACCTCTCTATATGTCCGAACCACCTCAATAACCCCTCCTCAGCCCTCTGGATAATAGATTTTTCAATCCCATACCTCCTCCTAATCTCAAAACTACAGATTCTCTGCCTTATATTCACATCATCCATTGCTCTCAGACATGACATCTGCACTGCCTCCAGCCTTCTTGTTGCAACATTCATCACCCGTGCTTGACATACGTTGGTATAACTATACTCTTCCATGGACAAAGTTCTTTGTCTCCACAGATTCCTACATGCACTACTCATCTTTTTCCCCTCATCAATTCTATGATACACCTCATCTTTCGTAGACCCATCTGCTTACAAGTTCACTCCCAAATATATGATTACATTCACCTCCTCCATACTCTCTCTCTCCAATCTCATATCCCATCTTTCGTTACCTAATTTTTTTTGTTATCCTAATCACCTTACTCTTTCCTATATTCACTTTTAATATTCTTCTTTTACATTCCCTACCAAACTTATCCACCAACCTCTGCAACTCTCTTCAGAATCTTTCAAAAGAACAGAGTCATCAGCAAAGAGCAACTGTGACAACTCCCACTTTATTTTAGAGTCTTTATCTTCTAACCCCACACCTCTTGCCAACACCCGAGCATTCACTTCCCTTACAGCTCCATCTAAATATATATTTAACAACCACGGAGATATCACTCATACATGTCTAAGGCCTACTTTTACTGGGAAATAATCTCCCTCTCTCTTACATAATCTAACCTGAGTTTCACTATTTTCTTAAAAAATCGTCTCTGCTCTCAATAACCTACCTCCTAATCCATACATATGCAACATCTGCCACACTGTCCTTCCTATCCATCCTATCATACGCCTTTTCCAAATCCGTAAATGCTACAAAAACCTTTTTACCCTCATCTAATTACTGTTCACCTATATGTTTCACTACAAACATTTGATCTACACACCCCCTACCCTTCCTGAAGCCTCCTTGTTCATCTGCGATCCTGCTCTCCGTCTTACTCTTAATTCTATCAATAATAACTCTACCATAGTCTTTACCACATGTACTCAACAGTCTAATTCCCCTATAATTTTTAAACTTTCTTTTGTCACCTTTCCCTTTATACAAAGGAACTATGCGTGCTCTCTGCCAGTCCCTAGGTACCTTTCCCTCTTCCATACATTTAATAAATAAAAGTACTAACCACTCCAAACCTATATCCACACTTGCTTTTAACATTATCTTTATCCCATCAATCCCAGCTTCATTCTCCCCACTGACTCACACACTTTCCCCACACTCACAACTGGTTCTTCCTCACTCCTACAAGATGTTAATCTTCCTTAACCTATACACGAAATCACAGATTCGCTTATCTTCATCAATATTTAACTGTTCCTCAAAATATTCCCTCCATCTTCCCCATACCTCTAACTCTCTATTTAATGCCTTTCATCTCCTATTTTTAAGTATCAAATCCATTCGTTCCCAAGGCTTTCTCAAATTACTGATCATACTCCAAAACTTTTTTCTTATTTGCAACAAAATTTGTTAATAACATCCCACCTACTCTCTCATTTACTCTCTTTTAATATTTCTTCACCACTCTCTTAATTAAGCTCTCTATTTCTCTCCATATACTCCTCCCTCCATGCATCATTTATTTTTCGTAAAAAATCTCTCATATACTAACTTTTTCTCTCTTACTGCTCTCTCTCTACGTCATCATTCATCATTCCGCCAGTCGTTCCTCGTCCCTCCCGCACTCACATTCTTGCAACCACAAACTTCTTCTGATTACTCTAACACTACATTCTTAAACTTATCCAATATATCTTCTACACCATTGCCTATACTCTCACTAGCCCATCTGTCCTTCAATACTTGTTTATATGTTAACGTAACAGTCTCCTTCTTTAGTTTATAAACCTTCACCTCTCTCTTACTTGCTGCTTAAATTTTCCTTGTATCCCATCTACCTTTTACTCTGTAGCTACAACTAAAAACTGATTTGATATATCTGTGGCTCCTCTATAAACATCTACATATTCAAGTCGACCTATCAGTCTTTTATCTACAAATACGTTCTCCGACAAACTACTGTCATTACGCCCTATGTCATATTTTACATTCTTATTTATCCTCTTTTTTTTTAAATATATGTTACCTATAACCAAACATCCTTCTATACAAGGTTCAATCAAAAGCTCCCTATTATCATTTACACCTGATGCCCCAAACTTGCCTACCACACCCTCTCTAAACGTTTCTCTTGCTTTAGCATTTAGGTCCCCTACTACAACTACTCTTTCGCTTGGCTCAAAAGTTCCTACATTCTTTACATCTAAAATCTCTCTCTCTCCTTAACACTCCTTTCAACTCCAGGTGAATACAAACTTATTATGACCCACTTCTCGCATCCAGCCCATATTTTAATCCACATAATCCTTGAATTTATTAATTTACATTCTCTCTTCTCCCTCCGTAATTGATCCTTCAATATTATTGCTTCAATTTCCTTAGCTCAATTCTCTCAGACACTCCTGACTTAATCCCATTTATTTCTCCCCACTGAAACTCCTCTACCCCCTTCAGTTTTATCTCGCTTTGAGCTATGACATCCAGTTTCTATTCATTCATAACATTAACAATCATTTCTTTCTTATCATTTGCACTACATCTACGCACATTCAAACATCCCAGTTTTATAAAGTTTTTCTTTATTTCTCTTTTAGTAGTTTATACAGGAGAAGGGGTTACTTGCCCATTGCCCCTTGCATTCTAGTCACTGTGCCTGAGGGCACTTACAGTACCCTCTCCTCTCTCCCTCCCTTACTTGCTCACTCCAAGGAAGGTGGTCCTCTGAGAACGTATTTGCTTGGACATCCCCCTCTTTTCTCCAATTTTGCAAGCTTCTGATATGTTGAAAACAACACGAAAGGCCTAGAGCAATCATTCCACTCCATCCGTGGTTGTTTTGCTATATATATATATATATATATATATATATATATATATATATATATATATATATATATATATATATATATATATATATATATATATATATAAAGATTGGGTCCACCTCTGGTGTAAATTGTGGGACCCACAGCCTCGGAGAAGTGGATAAAAAAGCTTCAAGGAAGAATATTTGCTTATTCTTTACGAAGCCATTTGAATATTCCACTTCCCTTACCACCCCATCTTTTCATTCTTTTTTTTATCAATAGGAATATAGGTAAAACTTGGGATTTTGAGTTATATAGCAACTCTGTTCTTGCCGAATAAGGCAAGCGAAAATTTGTGTATCCAATAATTTGGCAAAAAATCATTCTAAACTAAACGAGAAAATTATATTTCATGTTGTGAGCTCATTTTTAAATTATTTTAAACGTATCTAAAATACATTTAATCGGATTAGGCTAAATTAAATTGCACTCATAATATGGTTAGGTAAATTTTCTAAGATTATTTTGTTAGAAAATTAATAATTTATACATTAACATAAATGAAGAGAAAATTTTAGAAAAAAATTCATCTTAAATGAGTCCTTGCTAAGTGACCATTTCTACCTATTTGGCACGACATTATCAAGGATCTATAAAAATAAAACATCAACAGGAAGACATAAGGTCAAGACTACACCTCACAGTCGCATCACAACACCCGACTCTGTGAAACACAACTGTTACTCTTCCAAAGCATTGACATTTTTTACTTGTCTAATTAATCATTAAATTCTCCCCAAATTTTATTATTTATAAATGAATCCAAGCTACATAAATCAAAAGAAACATTATTTTCACAACTGTTTTTCATGAAACATGATTCAATTATATTTCTGTCGAACATGGACTTGCTTGATACAATTTTCTCAGCATTTTGAAAATTAATTGGATAGTTAAAAATCTCTCACATGAATAAACAGAGCATTAGAATCTTCTCCTAATGCTATATTTATGTTGTTTTAATCCTTATTCAAGACTTTTACCAGTTTGACTGTAATTAACTTTATCACATATTTTACAAGTAATCTTATAGACATACTCTCACTTAAAGATTACGTTAATTCTTAGATTTGTTATTAAAGAATCTTTGTTGTTGTACCATTTACATGTAGCGTTATTAATCTTCCTGTAGTCAATAGGCTTTAATCCTAATAAATCACCCAAGCGCACCATCAGTAGATTCTCAAGAAGTATAAATGTTGTTACTTATATTTTCCTAATTGTTTCTCTGACAGAATTTATTGACTGGTGATAAACCTGTTTGGGGAAGCATTTACCTCAAGTCGGTGCAGGTTTGGGTCCGCACCTATGGGTGTGACAAAGGTAAGGTGCCAATGTGTTTTCTATCTGTGTGTGTGTGTGTGTGTGTGTGGTGTGTGTGTGTGTGTGTGTGTGTGTGTGTGTGTGTGTGTGTGTGTGTTTGTGTGTGTGTGTGTATGTTTGTGTTTGTGTGTGGTATGTGTGTGTGTGTGTGTGTGTGTGTGTGTGTGTGTTGTACTCACCTATTTGTACTCACCTATTTGTGGTTGCAGGGGTCGAGTCTTAGCTCCTGGCCCCGCCTCTTCACCGGTTGCTACTGGGCCCTCTCTCTCCCCGCTCCATGAGCTTTATCAAACCTCGTCTTAAAACTGTGTATGGTTCCTGCCTCCACTACGTCATTTTCTAGGCTATTCCACTGCCTTACAACTCTATGACTGAAGAAATACTTCCTACTATCTCTCTGACTCATTTGTGTCTTCAACTTCCAATTGTGGCCTCTTGTTTCTGTGTCCCCTCCCTGGAACATCCTGTCTTTGTCCACCTTGTCTATTCCACGCAGTATTTTACATGTCGTTATCATGTCTCCCCCGACCATCCTGTCCTCCAGTGTCGTCAGGCCGATTTCCCTTAATCTTTCTTCATAGGACATTCCCCTTAGCTCTGGAACTAACCTTGTCGCAAACCTTTGTACTTTCTCTAGTTTCTTGACGTGCTTTATCAAGTGCGGGTTCCAAACAGGTGCTGCATACTCCAGTATGGGCCTGACATACACGGTGTACAGTGTCTTGAATGATTCCTTACTAAGGTATCGGAATGCTGTTCTCAGGTTTGCCAGGCGCCCATATGCTGCAGCAGTTATCTGATTGATGTGTGCTTCCGGAGACATGCTCGGTGTTATACTCACCCCAAGATCTTTCTCCTTGAGTGAGGTTTGCAGTCTTTGGCCACCTAGCCTATACTCTGTCTGTGGTCTTCTGTGCCCTTCCCCTATCTTCATGACTTTGCATTTGGCAGGATTAAATTCGAGAAGCCATTTGCTGGACCAGGTGTCCAGTCTGTCCAGGTCTCTTGAAGTCCTGCCTGGTCCTCATCAGATTTAATTCTCCTCATTAACTTCACATCATCTGCAAACAGGGACACTTCTGAGTCTAACCCTTCCGTCATGTCGTTCACATATACCAAAAATAGCACTGGTCCTAGGACCGACCCCTGTGGGACCCCGCTCGTCACAGGTGCCCACTGTGATACATCATTACGTACCATGACTCGTTGTTGCCTCCCTGTCAGGTATTCTCTGATCCATTGCAGTGCCCTTCCTGTTATATGCGCCTGATGCTCTAGCTTCTGCACTAATCTCTTGTGAGGAACTGTGTCATAGGCCTTCTTGCAGTTCAAGAAGATGCAATCAACCCACCCCTCTCTCTCGTGTCTTACTTCTGTTATTTTATCATAAAACTCCAGAAGGTTTGTGACACAGGATTTGCCTTCCGTGAATCCGTGCTGGTTGGCATTTATACTCTTGTTCCGTTCCAGGTGCTCCACCACTCTCCTCCTGATAATTTTCTCCATAATTTTGCATACTATACACGTCAATGACACAGGTCTATAGTTTAATTCCTCTTTTCTGTCTCCTTTTTTAAAAATGGGAACTACATTTGCCGTCTTCCATACCTCAGGTAGTTGCCCAGTTTCCAGGGACGTGTTGAAGATTGTGGTAAGTGGCACGCACAACATATCTGCTCCCTCTCTAAGGACCCACGGGGAGATGTTGTCCGGTCCCATTGCCTTTGAGGTATCGATGTCCCTTAGCAGTTTCTTCACCTCCTCCTCCTCTGTATGTATGTCGTCCAACACTTGTTGGTGTATTCCTTGCTGGTGTCCCCATCTGGTCTGTCCCCCAAGAGTCCTTCCTGTCTCTACTGCAAATACTTCCTTAAATCTCGTGTTGAGCTCCTCACATACCTCTTGATCGTTTCTTGTGAGTTCTCCACCTTCTTTCCTCAGCCTTATCACCTGGTCCTTGACTGTTGTCTTCCTCCTAATGTGGCTATACAGCAGTTTCGGGTCAGATTTGACTTTCGATGCTATGTCGTTTTCATACTGTCGCTGGGCCTCCCTCCTTATCTGTGCATACTCGTTTCTGGCTCTTCTACTAATCTCCTTGTTTTCCTGGGTCCTATGCCTCCTGTACCTTTTCCATTCTCTGTTGCACTTAGTTTTTGCCTCCCTACACCTTCGGGTAAACCAAGGACTCGTTTTGGTCTTCCTATTATTTCTGTTTCCCTTGGGAACAAAACTTTCCTCTGCCTCCTTGTACTTTGTTGCCACATATTCCATCATCTCGTTTACTGATTTTCCTACCATTTCTCTGTCCCACTGAACCTCCTGCAGGAAGTTTCTCATACCTGTGTAGTCCCCCCTTTTATAGTTTGGCCTGTCCCCTTCAGTTCCTGTTACCTTCTCCACTTGTAACTCTACTATATAGTCAAAACTCAGAACCACGTGATCGCTAGCTCCAAGGGGCCTCTCGTAAGTGATGTTCTCAATGTCTGAACTGCTCAGGGTGAACACAAGATCCAGTCTTGCTGGCTCATCCTCCCCTCTCTCTCTGGTTGTGTCCCTGACATGTTGATGCATGAGGTTTTCAAGTACCACATCCATCATCTTGGCTCTCCATGTTTCGGGACCCCCATGTGGCTCCAGGTTTTCCCAGTCGATCTCCCTGTGGTTGAAATCGCCCATTACCAGTAACTTTGCTCTGCTCGAGTGAGCTCTTCTTGCCACCTCAGCCAGTGTGTCCACCATCACCCTGTTGTTTTCTTCGTACTCCTCTCTTGGCCTCCTGCAGTTCTTTGGTGGGATATACATCACTCCAATGACTACTTTATGTTCTCCGGACTGAATTGTACCTACAATGTAGTCTCTTTCTCCAATCATGTCCATACCTTCCATTTCCTCAAATCCCCATCGGTGTTTTATGAGCAGTGCAACCCCTCCTCCCCCTCTACTCCTTCTATCTTTCCTCAGGATCTGATATCCTGTTGGGAAGATTGTGTCTGTTATTGTCTCAGCGAGTTTTGTTTCTGTGACTGCTATGATGTTGTGTGTGTTTGTGTGTGTGTGTGTGTGTGTGTTTGTGTGTGTGTGTGTTTGTGTGTGTGTGTGTGTGTGTGTGTGTGTGTGTGTGTGTGTGTGTGTGTGTAATTAACTGTTTTTTTTACTACAAGAGCAGAGGTTTGCTCAAAGCATTCCACTTTCAATACTCTGTTCATGATATATATATATATATATATATATATATATATATATATATAAATATATATATATATATATATATATATATATATATATTATATATATATATATGTATGTATGTATGTATTAAATTTCATTAGTTGCAATACTTCATAATTCCTTCTTCAATGCATTCCACTGATCATCAACTATGTTTCAGAAGAAAATTTTTCTACATTCCTTTACACTCCACTTTTTCGTTGATCTGCGACTGTGGCTTCTAGTTATACTCGTTGCAGAGACGAGGAATTTTTTTCTACTTTCGTATAAAATTTTTAATGTAAAAATTAAAATAGTCTTTTTTATTTAAATGAGGAAAATTGAGAAATCAATTTTCATTCTAATGTTAATATTTTTAATTATTGAAAAGTGTGTTAATGAGCAAATCTTAAATCCACAACATACAAAGTAAGAACGTATTCAGGGAGATTTTAGAGACTGCTTTTGAGCCAGAGAGAGCATAGCGTAAGTCTCCTAAGAGTTTCAGCTTGTTCCTGTATTTAGTTTTAACAACATCAACCGCAGAAAATGAAGGCTTTCAAAGTTACGTGGATCCAGATATTATGTTTCTGTACAGCTTGATATGGGACCAGTGTTTGCCTCACTGCATCATAGTTGAGAAGCCTTTCCAGTGCCATGAGTTTTGTCAACTGACGTTATAATTAACCTATGTTTCTAACTTCCACTACTACCTTGTATTGTGCTTTTCACTCACTACCCTCACATTTCAATTATTCACGTATCTTTCAAAGCTATGTTTTTATTTTGTTCACATCACTTGTAGGCCTCATCCGATAGGCTTCGAACTCTCAACACCTGTGTATGGTAACTAGGGTAAGATTCACACAGTTGTTGGCGCATATGGATGCCCTTTGACCAGAACAGTATCATCTCTTACGAGACTGCTGGAATGGGTCCGGTAACCATCGTAAGCTACTGCTGCTTGACCTCAGTAGTTCAAGAAGAAAGATGACATCTACATCGACAAGACAGAAAGTTAAACTGATATACGCAGGCGCATATTTGACAATTCTTGGTTAAAAATTAGTCCGAAATTTCTATTACTGTTAAATTACTTTAATATTTTTAAGTCTGCCTATTGTGAACTGTTTCAATATTTAATATATGAAGAATCTTATTTTCTGCATAGTACTTACTAAGTTTAGTTTGTGAACTAGCAAATTTATCGTTTTATTAAATTAGTTAAAAAAAATCGTTTTAATCCGTGTGGCAACTGGAGAAAGTGTCTTCTGATCAGCTTCAAAGTTACATTCGTAGTATTTTTAGAAACACTAAGATCAGGTCGCATAAGCCCTAGCTTTCGAATTTTATTAAATAAATGTTGACTTTTAAAGGCACTAGATAACTACTGAATGCCTCTTCTGATTACTTCGTAATAGTAACACTGATTCATTCGATAAGAAGCATCACGCACTGTAGGTTTAGAGTGTTAGAGTAGCTGCAAGTTTGAAATTTTTCTGACATTGTTAAATATCTTGTATTCCTTACTGTCAAATCAAATACTGGAAAATACCTTTTCTGATAGGCCTCAAATTTTCAGTGTAGGTGGGATATATTAAGAAAAAACGTGATTTTTGCTCGGAGTTATGTAAACTTTAATTTCTCAGTTTTATTAAATAGTATTTATGGATGGTATTCTCTTCAAGGGGGGGGGGAGGGGGTTCTTTGCTGTGGTGAAGAAGCTTTTGGTCTGAGAAATTGGAACTTTCGGTCTTCTTTCTCCGATCGAACCTAGCTGCCCCCCACTC